AAAAAAAAAAAAAAAAAACCCCACATCGGTCAACCTGAAAGTGTGGCGTTCTCTGTCCTGGAATGCACAAGATCATCGAATCATTGCGCTAGCAGAGTGAAACCACGCTTAAACAAAAAAACGAATCAAGTTAGTTATAATTAATTAATTATATTAATAATATAATAATTTTAATGTAATTCACTATTATTATTATTATTATTATTATTATTATTATTATTATTATTATTATTATTATTATTATTATGTACTGTACCTTGACCACCAATTAAAAGTTTGCCAAAACGGACCATGTTTTCAGAGACTGCTCCATAAGCAGCACCTACTTCAGAAAAGTCCTCAGGATCAGTCCTCATAGAAGAACTCAGTGTCACCACAGCCATTGTGAAAAATAAGATGCCTTTTGCCCAAGGCATGGTAAGTTTTCAAGCAAGAACCAGGAAATTCACAGTTATTGGAAAACCTTAACTCTACAGCTTGACAAGCTTACTGAGACATGCTGTGCTATTTGTACTCACTTTTGAATCGCGCAGTGATATTGGATGACCAATCAAAACTGTTCATCAATCAGCTTGTTGTTTTCACCTGTGCCTCATTATGCTTAAGACAGGGACTGAATTTGCAATAGCATATTAGCATATGACTCCAGAGTAGTGTTGTTTTTGGCGGCCTGTTTTAATTTTTAAACGAGACGAAATAACGTTATAACATTTCGTTTCGTCTCGTTTTGGTCAATGAAAATGAAGAGACATTTTAGCATAGTTTTTATTTTGTAAACCACATTTAGTCTCGTTTTTATTCGTCAATGATATTGCATTATACATTTAATTATAGTCATCGTCACATGACCAGCATTTTCGTCTCGTCTTCGTCACGTGATAAAGGTTCGTTGACGAAGATATTTAGTCATAATTTTCGTTGACGAAAGCAACACTACTCCAATATGCTTGTATGCTACTTGAAATTCAGCCAATACACAGAACATGTATGTTGTCTTTATTGATAGGACTCATTAAGTTAGAGTAAAAGTATGTTATTTTGGACTTTGGAAAGACAGATTTCAGAGGCATAATAGTACATACATACGTTAAACAGAATTAAGTTGTATGGGATACATGAATATACATACAGTTAGAGAGAGCGAGAACATTAAAAATAATTAATTACTCATTTTAATGTATTTTATCCATTACACTCCAGGCAATAAGAATATAAGCTTACATAAACAATAAAAATATTGTATCCATTGTCTATTTTAAAGCATTTCAATCTGCTATTTTGCAGGTGGAAAGTCATAAACTTGTTAGTTCAAAGACTAGTGATAGTCACTCAATAAGAGAAAGAAAGCCATTGTGTTCTCACTAGTCCACAGAGGTGAGGCATGGTGGTTGTAATAGCTGCTGCAGGATATCTCCGCCAGTAAGTCCAGCGTTGTCATGCAAAGTGCATATTTGCACGGGACTTCTTGTGCTTTCCAGTTATTTTGCAACAGTTCAGCCCAGTTCCTATCAATTCTTCTACAAGGCCCTGGAAACCTCTTTAGCAGTCTGCTCTGGCTAGGGATGTGTGAAATTAACAGAAACTGACAGTGACAGAAATGTATTTTTTCATTGAGGTATGATATTTGCCACCTTAAATTGATTTCCAGAGGCATTTTTACCGTTATATCGCCAATTTTTCTAACCTTATTATATGTACGCATCATCTTTTATGTCAAATCAATAAACTCAACAAAACATTATAGGCTGTTGCCAATCAAATAAAATCTATTTTGATGTATTTACACTGCAATTAAAATAGCATAAATAGTGTTTCTAAAATATAGACTTTTTAATTTAAATTTTTTGAATATTGAAATTGTTTTTTTTTTTTTCTTCACGAAATTATACTTTAAATTTGAAATAAACTCTCAGTAGGTGGCGGCCTATCTTAATAAGTGAATCACTGGGTGCTTCTCAGTGCTCAACAATATGAACAAGATGGCGCCATGGATAGCAGCTACGGTTTGTAGCACCTTGGTACTTTTTTTGTTTTTTTTTGGCCTGTTTTAAGTAACTTTTTTTCTGATCAGCTTTGCTAGAAATGAAGACATCAGAAATAGCACACCAAACAACTTTTTGCCTATTTTTGAGCAGTCAGACGATTTACTGGAAAACCTAGTCGGAGGAGCTGCGTTCCTATACAAGCGCTCCAAGCGACGCAAACGAGGGAAGCGCGCTGGCGCGCTCGTGAAATTCCGACAGCACGGTTTTAGGACTCCGCTGCCGAGCATTCATCTGGCGAATCTCCGCTCCCTAGCAGATACATCAAACGAAGTACAACTCCTCACCCGCACAAACAAGGACTTTTTAAACTCTGCCATGCTTTGCTTCACGGAAACCTGGTTGCCATCCCGGAGAGCGGATCGCGTCACCGAGTCGTCGGGGAAATCGAGAGGCGGTGGATTATGTTTTTATATCAATGAAGGCTGGTGTACAGACGTGACAGTTTTAAAAAAGATGTGGTGCCAAAATTTGGAAGCTCTCTTTATTACCTGTAAGCCTTTTTATTCGTTGCAGAAGTTTTCCTTGTTTATTCTGTTGAGTGAGTACATTTCTCCTGACGCGTGTGTGAGCGCGGCGATAGAACAGCTGGCTGATCAGATCACACACACAGAGCAGCGTTACCCGGACTCGTTCATTATCATTCTCGGTGATTGTAATAAAGCCAATCTCACCAGCGAACTGCCTAAATACAGACAGCACATCACATGTCCCACCAGAGACAGAAATATACTGGACCATTGCTACACAGTTTTAAAGGATGCATACCACTCTGTCCCCCGAGTGGCCCTGGGACTCTCTGATCACTGTTTGTTCCATCTTCTACCAGCCTACAATCAGAAACTTTAATCTGCTAAGCCTGTAGTGAGATCTGTAAAAAGATGGACTAATGAAGCAGAGCGGGATTTAATTTACTCGTCATCCAGTCTTTTATATCGACTATGCATTCCGTTAGTTTTTCAAATTGGTATGTTTCGTCAGGCCGCGAAGAAATATAAAGCTGAGTATCATCAGCATAACAGTGAAAGCTAACACTGTGTTTCCTGATGATATCTCCCAAGGGTAACATGTAAAGCGTGAAAAGTAACGGCCCTAATACTGAGCTTTGAGGTACTCCATAGTCCATACTGCACTTGTGATCGATATGATACCTCTTTCTTTAATCTAGATTTAAACTGACAGAGTGTGTCTGCCTCCCGAACAATGTTAGGTAGGTTATTCCAGAGTTTGGCCGCTAAATAGGAAAATAGGATCTGCCGCCCGCAGTTGATTTCGATATTTTAGGTATTATCAAACTGCCAGAGTTTTGAGAACGCAGCGGACGTGGAGGACTATAATGCAATAAGAGCTCGTTCAAATACTGAGGTGCTAAACCATTCAGGACTTTATAAGTAATAAGCAAGATTTTAAAATCTATACGATGTTTAATAGGGAGCCAGTGCAGTGTTGACAGAACCGTCTAATAGTATCGATCTTGGAAGTAAAGTAGTTCATAAAGTCATTACTGCTGTGCTGTTGGGAAATGTCAACACCTGTTGATGCTTTATTTTTCATTAATTTAGCCACTGTATTGAATAAATACCTGAGGTTATGTTTGTTTTCTTCTAAAAGAGACGAAAAGTAATCAGATCTAGCTGTTTTTAATGCTTTTCTGTAGGATAGGGTACTTTCCCGCCAAGCAATATGAAATACTGTTTTTTTCCTTAATCTTCCTTAAGCGTAAACGAGCAACCATATCTAAAATGCTAGAAAAGAGAGAGTCAGTAGTTTCTGTTACATCATCAAGTTGTTCTGAGGTATTTGATATGCTGAGGAATTGAGATAAATCAGGAAGATTACTTACAAAGCAGTCTTTTGTGGTAGAAGTGATGGTTCTACCATACTTGTAACAAGGAGTAGAATTTACAG